CCTTTCTACCTGCCTGTCTGCCTGTCTGCCTTTCTACCTGCCTGTCTGCCTGTCTGCCTTTCTACCTGCCTGTCTACCTGCCTGTCTACCTGCCTGGCTACCTGCCTGTCTGCCTGTCTACCTGCCTGGCTACCTGCCTGTCTGTCTGCCTGTCTACCTGCCTGTCTACCTGCCTGTCTACCTGCCTGTCTACCACAAGCTGCTATCTTAACAGCTGTGAGAACCAACAATAGTCGTGTTCATTGTTTATGTTCATAAAGATAATTTTGGGGGAGTGGCTTTGGAGGGGGGTGTGAAGGGACGGGCTATCAGTGTTGCTGACTTGGCAACTTTCTTGCTAGATTACTAGCTTTTGGAGCTAGTGCTGCTAGCTACTTTCATTAGAAAAGAGTTTGCTACACTGGGCTGGGTTTTTAGGTTGGATATTTATTTTTAAATCTCAACATTATCAACCCTGCCTTTTAAGTCGTGTGATGACAACTGCGCTATCTCTATAACAACGGGGCAAACTCTGCTGATGAAGACTCCATACAATAGTAGGAAATGGACGCTGAGTTTTTCATGAATTATTTATTTTGACCAGACTGTGTATGGACTCATCTTGACCTACAGACTCAACTTTGGCCTCGGTGCCAGTGTGCAGCAACATTTTACGCAACGCATTATCCTTTGATACAGACCACCTGTTATGATGCCACCGCATTCCATATTGTCTCCCATTTCACTCCTTTGCACAGTGAAATGGGAGACGAGATACCCTGGCCAGCCACTTTGTTAAGTAGGCATGACCGTTGGACTGTCTGTCTTCTGATTGTGCCCCTGAGGAAGGGTGCGTTAGATGCTTTTAGATGGTCCAACAACTTGGTTTGAAACATGCTAAGACCTTTAATCGCTGATATGTGTAATGCATTATCCACTCTTTTGCTCAGGTCCAGAGATCACAGACGAGCTGGTCAAGGTGCTGCGTAAGCGCCTGGATGAGACCACGTTGGATATCATCACTGTCATGCTCGTCAGAAACTGCAAGCTGACACCGGCCGACGTGGAGGTAAATTGCTCGTCGACAAAATTAAACTTAACTTTGTGTTGTTTCTGGCTGCTCTGTAGTTCTGTGTACACTCCCAGAATTATGAGTTTTTATTCCCACTGAGGCAACCAGAGAGCGCAATTTCTTTGGATGTAAGCCTTCACCCAGTGTTGTCTGCTCAGTTCATCCAGCCTTCAGGATCTCCAGCCACTGAGGTGATGACCTTCGGCCTCCCCCGGTACTGCCTCCCCTGGCTGCCCGCTGTGGCTCACTACCTCAGGCAGAACCTCCTCATCTTCCTGCATGTACCAAAGTACACTGACAGCAACACGGCACACCACTTCAAGGTATGACCCAGACCAGCTTAGTGTTATCAACCTAATATGGTAATATGCAATGTTAATGTTCTTAACTGTTGACCAGGGCATCAAACCCTTGTGGCAGCCCCTTTGCTCTGACATCTCTCCATGTCTATAGGTCCCGTGTGTGCTTGTTTCTGGCTTAACAACACTGTAAAAGTTGAATTTCCCCAATGATGATGAAAAGTGTGTCTTTCTTGCCTCTTTCTATTTGGCCTAGAGTGCCTAGAAAATAACAACAATGCTGGATATCAAACCTTTCTTTGAGTTACAGACAAAGGCCAGAATCTGATGGTCGACCTTAAAAGGAAAGTTCTGCTTCATTACAACTCGGGTCATATGCTGTATTTTTTATTTTTATTTTTTTACATCATTTCTGTCAGCTCCGAGGGCTTTCTGATGCAAAAGCAAGGTAATTGCTGAGATCCGGGAACATGTTCAGCAACATTGCTACAGCAAAGTGTGACGGAGCAAGAAACACAAGAAGTCAGATAATTGGAAGGAAAAATTAAAAAAACAAAACAGCAACAGCCAAATTGTCTAAATTACTTTATTTTAAGGTCAAATAGACGGTGAACTCACGCAATTTGATGCTAATAAGCCCTCACTGCACAGGAGAGCTGTGCATGCACAAGTACAGCAGGTCAAAGTTGAAGCAGGAAGTGTCTCTGTAAACTGATCGATGTGAACAGTGTGGGTCATAACATTTCCATTTACCTTTAGTTTGACTAAACTTTTGGCTTGTTAAAAAAATAAAATTCTACAAGGTATGGATCAGAATTAGCCTTTAAAGCCATCTTTTTTCTTTCTTTTATCAGACTGGAAATAATAAAAAAAAATATGCAAGTAAATTGTTCACCGCAGGAAGAGAGGTAAGATTATTTATACACTGTCGCAAAATACATGGCGCTAAAAGCTTGGTGACTTAGTCACTACTCGTAGAGCTAGTGATTGAACTACCGAAGGTGAAGAGCAAATTATTTACACATTAGCCAGCCAACATGCTAACACTAGTAGAGCTTCAACAAAATGGGTTTGAGTAATGTTTAAGAAAAATTGAAGTCAAAATTTTCGTTTCTCGTTATGTGAATATATTCCGCTGTCTTTACTCCTCTGTGACAGTAAACTGAATATCTTTAAGTTGTAGACAAAACACCACATTTGAGGACGTCATCTCGACTTTGGAAAAACTTCCACCATTTTATAGACAAACAACTTATCAATTAATCGAGAAAATCTCACAGTAGCGCTCCAAGCTAGCTGGCTTGCTGAGGTAGCAAGTGAGCTAGTTAGCTTTCTCACTAACAGTGAGCTAGTTAGCTTTCTCACTTGCAAATAATATTCCACATTTGTACTATTCTGTTGTAACTGTTTATAGAACAAACCATGTCTCTTTAGTGGAGCAGGGTTACAAAAGCAGATACCCAACTCCTTTAAATGACTTGTTGACTTGTAAAAATAAGTAATTGCTGTTTGCAAATCAAAAACGCCTCCCTGCACTGATAGATGACTGTTTGACATATGCAAGGGCGCTACAAACAGCTCTGTTCAAATTGATCTGGATTAAGAATGAATAAATCCTAGATATGGGAGGCTCCCAGCTCTGCAAAACTGTGGCAGAGACTAAAATCATTTTTGACAAGTCTCATTGTGATGTATGAAATAAATGCTGACTTGTGTGGTTTGAGCTTCCAGGGGCTGATTTGTCTTCTGTTCTGTCTGCAGCACTACTTTCATTTGAGAAGTGACTTGGCTGACGGTGATATCTACCTCTACAATAAACCTGGAGGCCAGGGGACGGGAGGCAAAGGTAATCACATTCTCCCAGCTCTGTGTGTGCGCGTGTGCGGCATCCTTCGGTTCTGATAAGTGAAGCCAATGCAGAAGTGCCTTAAACTTGCATTCTCTCTAATGTCCACCAGGGGGCGACTCCTCTGGTTGCATAGAAGTCTATGAGAAAATGACTCTACTTCTCTCTTGATTTATTACCTCAGTAAACATTGTAAACATGAGTTTATGGTCTCAATCTCTAGTTTCAAGTCTTCTTCAATACAGCATGATGTTCATTTAGTACATTATGGTCCATTTAGAGTCAAACAGACCATAAAGCAGGGGATGCTTCAGGGCGGGACTACACGGTGATTGACAGGTTACTGCCTCTACCAGAGAGACATCATATACGATGTTTCTACATCACTCCTCCGCATTCCAAATATGGTAACTTCCGTTCATCGGTTGCAAAAAAAACAACATGGCGACATCGCCGAACTCTCACCAATGGGTGACGTCACGATGACTCCGTCCACTGTACAGTATATACAATACAGTGGTGGGCCGTCAGGGCCTGCAAGGCCTTCTCTGCTGGCCTAAACAGAATCACAAAGCTAAATCTATTTTATAATTTAATAATTTTTCTTAAATACACTACATGTATTATAATTTATAAAAATATTTTCCCCATTATCTTATTTTCTCATTGCACAGCTACTGTCTTCCTCAGTTGCTCTGCTTCCAGTGCAGCTTGTTTTAAGTAGAGCTTTTATCCAATCAGATTTCACCTCTGTGTCGCTAGGTAAGAACAGAGGCAGAGGCCTGCAGACTCACAAGTGAATCCATGTGCAGTTTAAGTGAATGGGGAAGATATTGTTGATTGTCATAGTCTTCAACCAATCAGATCTTTAGTTTGACATGTTGAGCGTATTCTTTGACGTGTCAGAGCCTGCGCGCCGGCCTATAATGACGTCAGCAATACGTGCAGCTCAGTGTCCATGTGCAGCTCTCCCGCGAGGTGCAGAGTGCGCTGTGATTGGTCAGTGGGCGAGCACGTGACTATCGTGAAACGAAACTTAACAGCAGAGGCTGTCGGGTAGTGAATCGCATCACGTGATGCAGCTCAGCCAATCAAATAAGGGCATTCTGACTGAGTGAGATGTACCATGACACAGGGGGCTGAGATGAGGAAAGACATTGCAGAGCAGTACGTTCAATGTTCGAGTTGTGAAAGTAAAATCCTAAGACAATCTCTTTGGACTTGTCATTAAGGCGTGATGGTGGGTCCCACATACAGACCAGCTGAGAACCATTGTCCTCCATGAGCACAGAAAACATATTTTCCTGAATATGAGCTTCTGCATTTTCCAGATGCTCTAGTACTATTCAAAGGTATTGTAAGTCTCGTACTGAACGGTACGTACATAGATACGTACATTTACTACGTACATAGTTACAGCCTTAGAAACTAATAATATCTGTGGCGCCATCATGTGGTTATAAGGAGGTATTTCAGCTGCAGGACAGCATTGAAGGCCTAGGTATAAAATGCACGGACCGCCACTGATAACATACGACCATAGACTGTATTGTATCTGTGCAGTTGCTAACTGTAACCTCCAGTGCTAGCCTCAACAATGTGGGCAGCACTAAAGGACATACTATGTGAAAAGCAAACAGACATAACCATAAGACCGACACAAGCTGCCCAGAGCCCGAAAGCTTTTTGGTTTGGAACACCTCAGTGTTTCTATAATTGTTCATCATCTGTTTAATTTTTCTCTCCACAGTTGTTTTCTGCCAGATGCTGAATATTTTCCTCTCCACCCTTTGTTTTTTTAAAACGCTGCCTCTGAATGGCCCCTTCTTTCCAAGCAAGTGTTCTCCACTGTTTTGTACTTTGTTAAAGTATTGGTTGTACCTGTATACGTTCTCTTTCTTTTCTTTAGTCTTCTTTAGACTGATACATTTTCCTCATCTACCTCAGGGTTAGCCTTTGTGCTAAAGTTACTGGCTTAGCTCTAACTCGTTCTTTGACTCGAGTGGGTGTGTGCTTATGAACGAGTTAACTTCCGAACTTTACTGACGGTCCGTTTGTCTGTGTTTTCTTCAATTGTTCTGTATTGTGTGCTGCGTGTTGTTTACATTCTACCAGGTTTTTAAAATGGCGGATGCCAGGGCTGCATTGGCTCATGTGTTCGACCAATCACCGTTCACCTACATCACTCCCAGTTCCTCTTGGGCTGGGAGATTACCTGCTCCAGAATAGGAGCTAAAAAGTCCCTCAAAATGGCGTTCCGAGAACTACGTTCCTAGTTCTTGTGGTGCGGACACAATAAAAATGGTGTTTCTTTGAACAATGATAAAGGCAGTATGATATCATAGGATATGCTGACTTTCCTTTCCTATGTGTAACTCCCGTAAATTCAGAGCAGATTTCCCTCTGCTTGTCTGGCATAACAGAAACTACTTCTTCATCTCAGTGCTAGTTTCTTTGATGCGTATCAGCACAATCATTTTCTTATTTTCTGAAGGTGGGTTCCTCTTTCTCTGTCGCACCGAACCTCATGCGTAGGCTTTAACCGGATACTTAACACATCTCTCTATAGGTGTTATTGGCCAGTGCAGTATGTATTCATCCTTGTGTGGGTTCCTTCCTGTCAACAGCACCAAGTCTAATGCTTTGCTTTTATGCAAATCAAGACGAAGAGTTCAGCAGACTTCTCTGTTTGGTCACACTGCCTCTCCATATATTTCACTCAGTGAAAGGCGAGTGCTGCTGCTGGAACTGTGAGAACGTCGCTGTGGAGAGCGAATACACGACTCCGCCATCCTTCAACAGCTCTCACCAAAGGGCAACTAATTACTGGTGTAAATGACGAGTTTACCGAATTAAAACCCCTCATTTATAATTACTAATCTGCTACCGCTCATTGCCATTTCAACTTAACATTTGGCTCATAATCACGGCGCTACATTTTTCATTTGAGAAACACGCTATCCTGGGTGTGCCGGCTGAAGTAGCTTTGTTTCATTAGGCACAAGCAACGGAAGTGTCTATAATCACACTGTTGTTTACGCTGTGCAGTTAATGTGTATTAGGCAGAGGAGTGGACTCATCCAGTCCAGTCATGAGTCTGACTTTGTCGAATGGGAATAATACTGTGATTCATGAATACTGTATTCAGCTATTTCTTCAAACAATCGCCAATAGTACACCTTTTATCCTAGCCACAAGCTCTAAAAAACATCATCATCGGCAGATTTTCACCTTCTCAACGGTCCTTGAATCGTCGGACAAAAGCAACAAAAATCATGGCTTGAAATTGTGATATTTCATCAAAAGCATTTTATTCTACATGTCTCATTTAAAACTTGCCACAAGTAAACAGATCCTGTAAAAAAACGTTAATTTCTGAGCTCCTCAGCAACTGGGAAGCCATGATTGACAAAAAATCACTGAAAGTCCAACTGAAGTGCAGGCTGCTGAACACAGAGCAATGAAGAGAGGACAGGTTGTAAACATGTCAATAGTTCAATTCATATAGCACATAGAACATCGCTAACACTTGGAGAAATATTGGATATATAGATTCCAGTGTTTTCCAATTTTTGTAAGATAAATTATACTAAGACATTTTTTAAGATTTTTGGCATTATAACTGTGTTATGCTGCACAACAGACACTCTTGAGTTCTCTTTACTTCTAGCCATGGTTGTGCTGTTTCCATAGAGGTGCAGGACTTATGTATTGCAGTGAAAAATGAGGCCACAGAGAGTAAAATGCTTGGTGTTCATGAGGGTTAAAATACAGTTTTGTTTCTGACTGCAGAGTACTGTGAGCTCTCTGGGGATCCTCACCTTTAAGTCTCTTTAAAATGACTTCTCTGTGCCTGTCAACTCCTAAACACCGAGGGCTCCTGCACTCATCCCACTTAGCTGTCTAACTACTTTTTAATTGCTGTGCGGAGGAGCTCTGACTCCGTCTCATTTGTTTAAGCAGCTGCGAAACAAAGTGCTCAAATCGTATGAAGGTACCTGATCCCTGCCCAGCATGTGAAATAACGATTACGTCTTCCTATCAGCTAATTACCCGCTGCGACAGCCACGCTGGTGTTTTCTTACCGCGTGAGTCATTGGGATAAGATGTGGTCCTGCAGACCCCTTCTGTAGCAGGAAGTACCACAGAGGAGGAGGTCTGAGTACTTTGACAGGTTATATGTCTGTTTGTCCGTCTGTCCAAGACGCAGTCACAAAACCTTACAAGTGTGTAGTTGAGATTAAAATGAAAGCCCGGGTTCGTAGATGGGTTTGGTCCGAGCAAGGGTGCTGGAAGCAGGGGGGTAGGAAGTGTGGAAGGGTATCGGTCTCCGAAATGATATGGATGCAGAAAGATCAAATAGTTGAATGAATCTGTGCTCTGAGAAGCAGGACGTGGTTGTAACCTACAGTGTAGTAGTGGTGGTAGGTCAGATGCACAGTGCACCACACCCATCTACAAACTCGCCCTTCATTTTGAGCTCAACTACAAACATGACTGCATCCTGCACGGCTGTGACGCTGCCACGAGGACAGGCGGATGAACTTCCTGCTACAGGCGGTGTCTCCAGATCACATTCTGCCGGGATGACTTGCGTACATACAGACTCTCAAGGTTAATCACTGCTAGTCGTGTCTTTAGTTCAAAATCATGTCAACCTGAGTTTTACATTTAGTGCAAATTTTATTTTTTAATAATATTTATGGGAAGAAAATGGTGTCTTTGGGAACAAATCAGAGACACTCCTCACTCCTCCAAACCTCTGCAGCTGGTAGCATGTTCATGTGTTTCATAGGTCATTGGAGTTACAGGAGTCTGTGTACTGATTGGCTGAGGGCACTTTATGGCCGCACTTCACTATGAAAACTATCTCCAACTTAAGTTTGGCCGCATAAACACAGCTTTCCATGGACATCACATGACCGCTGCTCTGCTGTGTTTTTGGCACAAAGCACTGAATGGATATATGATGTGGTCATTTTGCTGTTCATAGCAACTCATTTTAGTGAAAAAATGGTTAAAATATTTTGTGACATGTTTGAATTAACAAAAATTTCTGAAATGCATCGTGTCTCCTGTCCAAGACATCCACCAGCTCCATGCATGGTACAGCTGACTCATTGTGTGCACAAATACCCAGGACCATGTCCACACATACAGCAATACTGACTCATACAAGCAGAGTTACAGGGCAACTACCTTAAGTCATGAGGAACTGAAGCATCAAAAGAAAATGGATTTTAAGACTTCCATTTTCACTTTCACCGTGCTCATATTTAATATATGCTGCTGTGACAAAACAAAGGATAAGGTGACAGACACCATGGCAATTAAAACTAAATATGATATTTCCCTGTTGTACAGATGTCTCCGTCAAGGCTCTCTGGTTAACTGTGAACAAAAGCAAATCCTCTGTGACTCTGCAGGTGGTGGGAGCCGACTAGCTTCCAGTTTTTAAGGCTCATTACTAGTTTGTTTGTTTGAACAAACACCTCTGCTCTTTCAGGTATCGCCTGCATCGCCCTCTCATGCGTGGACGTCCACGGCCGTTCCCTCCAGGTTCCGGTCCAGGACTGTGCTGCACTACAGAGGTCAGAGAACTGCACCACCCCCCTTCATCCAGACCATTTCGATGAGCTGACCACTGTGGGTAAAGTGGAGTCCATGGACATCAGCTCAGGTACAGATGAACACAACACTGAGCAGTTGTGGTAACCTGGACCCTGTTTTGTCAGGTTTTTGTGTTGAACGAATGGGGAAAACAATTCTTGTTATTGAAGGAGAACGCTGTAACTGGTAGATGCGAAACGAGCTGCGAGGGGAAAGTGAGTGGTGTCAATGTAACATACCGTCCACTGAAAGTGGACATATCCTATCCTGCCTTTTAGTTGTGAACGTGGGCTACGACAGACTGCGCTTGTTACTATATGTGAATGTATTTGTGACTATCGGGGAGCCACAGGTCTCGCTCTTTACAGCCTTCTTCCTCTGTGGACCTCAACACGACAGAAACTCTGCCCGGCAGTCACTCACGTTTCCACCGCATCCTTCCGGCAACATGTCATCTCGCGGGACTTGAGAACGAGACTTGTCCTTGTGCGAGACTCTTTCCATAATGTTGTCAGACATTTTTAACAGCAATCAGAGTCTGTAGCAAACACGATCACTTTCACTGGACGTACATGACTGTCTGTGTTTTGGCAGCTCTGGCTAAGGTCTTTTCTGCTGAAGTCCCCGAGAACAACATGTTGGTGCTGAGGACCTTAACACTGTGACATCAGCACATTGACCTTCGTTTATTTAGAAGCAGATCCCACCCCCTTGTTTTCCCCGCAGGGTCGGGTAGTATCCGAGATGGGCTTACCAAGCCGGGTTTCAGTGAAGCACAGGGCAGCGGATCTGCAAAAGTCTGTTTGATCTGTTGAGTCAGCAGTTTGTCAATCCTGATGTCCAGACAGGAGACGTTCCCCAGATGAATTGGCTGGAGCGCAGTTTCAAATCCCTGCCGTCACAGTTCAACCAGCGCTCCCACGGAGAGCTGTTGAGTGAGGAGCAGTGACATAGATTAATGTGTAATGTTCAAAGGTTTGTCCCTGTGAATGTGATCAGAGAGGGAGAGCTGAACACTGAACAGGTCAAAGGTCACCTCACAAAACACGGCCATAACTCAAGAATTCAAATGTCAACTATGACAATTTCTCACAAATATCTTCCAGGATAAAATGATGAAGTGATGACATGTTGGACAGACATGGATGTAAACTGCAACATGACTGTTTAGTGGAGGCATACAAGTGCAAGGCTGTAATTCTAGTTGTTTTTTGTGTGCATTTTGCCTTTTGAGAGCTGGCAGAGTAGATAGACAGGAAGCAGCACAAAACTATCCGAGCACATAGCTTCAAATGAACTGGTGCATGAAACTCCAAATGAACCATGGCGAGAGAAAATATTGTTTGTCCTGTGCAGTTTTGAAAAATGGTCAAAAGAGACATATCCTGACGTTTAGTGTGGGCTAAACAATTTTATGACGTATACTTATTAGACTATTACTGCCAGGTAAACACCCACATTGTCTCCAGGTTGTAAGATAGGCTTTGGGTTTGCACCCGGCATTAACACGAGAACTGTATCTGCATAATAACATCTGATCACAGGCCTTTGCATTTGTAGCAGGTTTTAATATGCGCCCTGGTTATCACCAGCCGGCCCACGTTTCAATCAGAGCCCAACTTGCATGTATCCAGGCTGAGCAGGAAGGGGCTCGTTTGTACCTGTTGACATTCCATCACTGTGTGTAGCAGACGGCCTCCAGGTGATTGCAATGTGTTCTCTGTGCATTTAAACCTGAATTATTACGTGTTGGTCCCGATCCAAATAAGATATCCAGATACAGATCACATCTTAAAGGGATAGTTAATGTGTTTTAAAGTGGGGTTGTATGTGGTACTTATCAAAGTCAGTGTATTACCTTCAGTAGATGGCGGTCGCCCCCAGTTTGGAGAAACAGACAGGAGTTACCATACGGGGGCAGAGCAGTGTGCAGCTGTGGACAGGCAGCAGCAGAATCCTATTTTAGACACCTACACAACATATTAGTTTAAGTGTATGCTATATTTAGAACATTTGTCTCTGGTTAACCCTGCTATGAGACAGTGAACTGATACCGTTGGATCATCTATGCTCTCGTAAAGCCACCAGACTTCATTGGAAGAAACAACAACTCGCAAAACATGTTTCACAGCAATTTCTTCCAATTTGGCACCAACGTCCACTTGTACTTAAGGATGAACTGATTAGGATGTGGTGGTCAAAGGTCACTGTCATGTCACAAAACACCCTTTAACCCATAACTCAAGGATTGAAATGCTAATTATAATAATTTCACACACAACTTGTCGACCATCTAGTGCAGGAAATGACGATGGATAAGTGCCTCATACAACCCCACTTCAAAACATTCAAACTATCCCTTTAAGACCAGCTGGCATTGTAAAATGTCCGAGCCCGAGCTGCGCACATCCTCAGGCTTATATTCTGAGACTTGGCTAAACTCTCATGAATCAACACAACAGTTTCCATACTCTGAGCGGTGCTCGCCATGACCAGTGGACTGAATGTGATGTGTGTAATCAGTGCCGTTCCCCCTTTAGAATTACAGTTTGATTATCTTACAAGTTTACGGAGAGTCCCGGGAGTCAATTTATTGTATAAACTACACTAATTTGAAAATGGATTAATTGCAGTCATAAACGTCAAGCTACGTTATGGGTAACAGTCCGGCTATTAAATTTAAAGTCTGAATATTAAATGCCTCCTAAAATTGAATGAGTAAATCTTCCTGGTAAATGAATAGCGCTCTGTGATATGAAGAGGTCTTTGTTCCTGGAGGCTCGATTTGTCACTGTGACACCACATCGCAGGGCCATAAATCATGGTTTTGGGGGCTTATTAACATGATTGTGTTTCTAGTCTTGTCGGTGTTGCAACAAGAGAGAAGTGACAAATATGACTCCAGCTGTTTTGGTTCTGGGCATTAAAAATAGAGCCACACTTAAAAGGTTGGTTTGATTCATTAAAGCGTCCCGGTGCAGTGAGTCACAATCATAGTGCATCTGTGCTATAGTATACTTTAATGAAAGGTGACACCAAAGATGAAAAGTTTGCATTTTGCTGAAAAAAGGAAGGAAGTAGCAGAGGACAGAAAGCAGGAACACAATGTTTGCATTGGTGCCAGATCACGTTCACTCATACTGTCTCGTTTCTCTGTTATGTCTAAAGATGAGCTGTCTTATATTTTTACCACCTGTACAGTTGAAGTGGAAGAGGTTTGTGAGTGGCTGAGAGAGGTGAGGACAGCATGTGGACACTCTCGACTATTATTTAAATGTAGGTCTCTATCACCCATGGAGGAGAGCCTCAGTGCTGCTGACCACATTTCCCATAAACCTTGCTGCTTTCTTGTTCAAATTGAAAATTGATTCTTTCCTCTCACCAACCCCCCTCCCCGAATAGTAACCATAACCGCTAAGGCTATACTATATGCGCTCATTCGTTTTCATGAAAACATAAAGACTGTGTTTTATTAATGTCCTGGTAAAGCAATTTGGTCAATGTTTGTGACTTGCTCATTTTAACACGACTCAGTGTTTGCTGATCCCCCTTTATTATGTGCTGAGTCAACAGGATTGTGTCTGCTTGTGTTCCAACAGAGCCACAGCTGTATGTGCGGTTTGACATCTGGGAGCAAGGCAACGTCAGCCCCTTGCAGCTGAGCGATAAACTGCAGGGGGCGCTGCGCCACGCTCTCTGCGACGTCATCATGGAGCTGAGAGTCTTGCCGAAGTCTCTGTGCGTGGCGGCGCTCTGCCCGGCGAGCAAAGCTCAGAGACAAGAGGCCAAATGTGAGGTCATCAGTTTGTTTGATATCTCAGGGGGATCTCAAGTATGAACGGATTAGAATATGTTTGTCAAAGGTTACTGTGATCTCACAAAACACGTTTTAAGTTAAGTCAGGAGTTCATACGCTAATTATGACGACAGATATGATGTAAACAGCAACTTGAATGGTTGGAGGAGTTCTAAAACTGAGACCTGAACCTGGTGCATACTTACGTCTTCAAGACGGGCTTCAACTGAACCCGACTGGTACTGAGACCTGAACCGGGGCTGAGACCCCGAGCTACAGTATGTTTCTACTTTCCTCTTTTGTGCGGCACAGTCCAGGAATGAGAAATGTATTTGAAATGAAACAAACCAAAAGCTCTACTCGTCTAAGTGACCCGAGTCTGACCTGAAACACTTGAACCTGGTTGGGACCTGTCGGGTGTAGTTGTGGAACTAGTTCAAACTGACTCAAAGGACAAAGAGAGACGCATGCCACTCAACACATTTTCATTTATCTTTTACATAGCACGACTTTCTCTTACAATTGTATTTATACTTATTTGATACTTGAATCACACATATCTCCAGCTGTCTACAGTTCATTTGATTTAATGTATTATTTAATTTAACACGATTCACATCATTTAAGGCCCAGTTTCACTGTGAGGAGAAAGAATAAAACTCGCTAGTTGCCAACACACTGTATTGAGCTGCTTGATTATGTTGTGTGTTCTATGTTGGTAAAAACATCAAATGTCTCTTAGATATAAATGTGACTTGTTTGTGTCTGAAAGTGTTGTCTTCAGGACTGGCGACTCCTCAGCCTGAGGTGAAAGAAGTGAAGGATGGCCCCAGGCAGCGCAGTGGCTCGCGGGTATTTAAGACCAGCCCCTCTCCCATCAACTTAACCCAGGCTGTAGGGAGCCCCCCCGTGACGGGGACCAGCACGCCCGAGTCCACCACGCCCACCAGCAAGAGCACCCGCCGCAGCTTCTGGGACATACTGGTCAGTGCCTCCAGAGGTTGAAGGATTTCATCTGTGTGTAGCCAAATTACGGGCTACATTAGCATTCATCACAATGCTCATGGGCATCTTATTGTAACGGGGTGTATACCTCTGTTAATATTATATAGTTGTACTGGGGTTTATGTTTTTGCATTTGCTGACTGTAATAATTAGCTGAAACCACCTACTGGCTGATGTTGTTATCACCGCCACGAGGATCATGCCATCGTTTTTTTGTGCGTGGATCTGTGAGTGATGCACGCACACTCACTGGACTGAGTGAGTGAGTGATGCACGCACACTCACTGGACTGAGTCAGTGAGTGATGCACGCACACTCACTGGACTGAGTCAGTGAGTGATGCACGCACACTCACTGGACTGAGTCAGTGAGTGAGTGATGCACGCATCACTCACTGGACTGAGTGAGTGAGTGAGTGATGCACGCACACTCACTGGACTGAGTCAGTGAGTGATGCACTCACTGGATTGAGTCAGTGAGTCGTGCACGCACACTCACTGGACTGAGTCAGTGAGTTGTGCACGCACACTCACTGGACTGAGTCAGTGAGTGTGCGTGCATCACTCACTGGACTGAGTCAGTGAGTGTGCGTGCATCACTCACTGGACTGAGTCAGTGAGTGTGCGTGCATCACTCACTGGACTGAGTCAGTGAGT